GAACCCAGGCTGCCAGTAGCAGAGAACGTGCACTTAACCGCTAAGCCACGGGGCTGGGCCCAGATTTGGTTTAAAATCCATCTGTAAGTTACTTGTGGAAATACTCATAAAACAAAGGAACAAAGATACTAAAAATGAAGAGATAAGAAAAATTACACTGGAGAGATTCAAACAAGGAAGAGGAGATACGGTAAGATTATCAAAGCAGAATTCAAGGCCCAAAACCTTGTCTTGGGGGCTAGGGAGATCAGTAATTGGAGTTAGGGCTACCACAGCAGGAGTTAGGATTGTAGAGTGACAGGAAGAGCAAAAAAGTGGGGTAATAGTGCAAGCTGCCTTTTCCTTCAAGGCATTTACCAGTCTGTTAGAAGGACAGACTGAGAGGCTGCGTAACTAAAGTTAGCAGCAGTCTTACGGTGCTGAGGAGACAAAAATTGTTCAGAGCTCTTCAAAATGGAGAACATCTCAGGCTTTTATCTGAGGGAAAGAATATACCCTAGGTGTAAGAGTAAACTAAAAACAGACCAGTGAATACAAAAACCTAGCCTACAATAAACCCAATCCCTGACTGGTGTAAGGGGGCCTATTCTGACTGTCTGCTAAAGCTAAAGAACTCCTCTCTGAAGAAAAATTAGAGCATCCACAAATTCTTTTACAGTGTCCAGTATTCAATAAAAAATTTACCAGGCATATCAATTGAGAAAGCCAAGAGGGAAAAGACCCCAAAAAGTAGAAATCCCCAGGTAACACAGATATCCAGATACCTCTGATTAATATTTAAGAAAATAGATGAAAACATGGAGAATTATTCCAGAGAACTGGAATCTACAAAAAGAATCAAGTGGGAATTCTAAAAATACAGTAGCAAATTAAGAATACAATACATGGATGTAGCAGCAAATCAGAAGTTGCTGGTGAGAAGCTTAATAATCCAGAAGAAGAAAAGTCAGTAAAACTATCCAGACTAAAATAAGAAGAGGAAAAAGTGAAATGTGTAGAAGTGTTTGAGTCATAAACACGGGTAAAAATTCTACCATACATGAAATTGGAGTCCCAGAACGGGGGGGTGAGGGGAGGAGAAGGGGGCAGAAGCAATATTGGAAAAGATAATGACCAAGACTTTTCCCAAACTGACAAAAAGCATTGAACCACAAATTTAAGAATCAATACAAACTCCATGCAGGATAAAATCAAAACTAATGCACATATAGGCACATCACAGTAAAACTGCTAAAACACAGAGACAAAAAAGTCCTAAAGCAGCAAAGGTTGGTAAGAGACAGTGGTTTCTAAGGAACAACAACAGGTCTGACAGCTGAGTTCTCACAAACAATCAAAGAAACAAACAAAAAAAAATATATAAGCTAGAAACTTTGGAATGTCACCTACAAATTGCTTAAAAAAATAATTGCCAACCTTGAATTATATACTGAGCACAAATATGTTTAAAAATGAAGGCAAAATAAAGATGTCTAGAATAACAAAAGCTGAAAGATAACTTATGATACTCTAAAAAAAAATCCTTGAGGAGTTAGGACTATAAACCCAGGCAGAATCATGGAAATAACAAAAGCAGTAAACAGCAAAAGAAGGGGTCAATATATGGGAAATAAATACTGAGTGAATAAAACACATGATATCTTATGAGTTCTAAAAATATACACAGAACTAGAAGATAGGAAAAATAATACAAAAGACAAAAGAGGGGTAAATGGAGTTAAAATATTCTCAAGTTTTTGCATTATCTGAGAAGTGATACAAGTAATGATTTGCAGGCTCTATTAGGTCAAAAATGAATGTTTTAATCACTAAGGATTTAAAAGAATGACTATAACTAACAAGCTTACAAAGGAGAATAATGAATTAACAATTCTTGATTAGTCCAAAAGAAGGTAAGAATGGAGAGAAACTGGAATATAAAATAAATGGGACAATAGGAAGGAAATTGTAAGAGAGTAAATTTAAACCCAAATATGAGTTAGGACTCATGGACTAAATATTCCAATTAAAAGAGATAGGATAAAAACAAAACAAAACTTTATATGCTGTGTACAAACAATATATTCTAAGTATAAAGTCAGAAGTTTGATGGTAATAGGATGGAATAAGATATATCCAGAAAATGATAACCAAAAGAAAACTGGCATAGCTATACTAATATCAAATGAAGTAGACTTTAAGGCAAGAAGCATTACATTTAATAATGATAAAATAATCAATATAAAAGAGAACAACTTAAACTTTGTATGCAGCTAATAACCCAAGATGAGACAGAAAATATTTTGAAAAGCTTAGAGATGTAATTAACGATACGATTTGAAAAGGCACCAGGATAAGAGTGATTTAGAACTCAGTTTCATATAACCTTTAAAGAACATTTCTACCTAAATATTTTAAGACCATAGGGAAAAAACAGAAACATCCCAATTCATTTCCTGAAGCTAGAAAAAGAAACCTTGTAAGAATGATAAACCCGAATCATCCTAACAAAGATATCCAAATCCAATTTTACTTATAAATTTATTCCAGGAATACAAGCGTAGTTCAATATTTGGAAATCTATCAAAACTAAATATATTAATAAATTACAGGGGAAAACTGTGATCATAGCAATAGATGCTGCAAAGGCTCTAATCATTGGTAGAAGAAAACATGTTACACCGTAAACAAAAATAAATTCCAGCTGGACTAAGGATCTAAATGTAAAGCAACAATGAACAACAACAAGAACAATAGAAACGGAAACACTAGAAGAAAATTCAGGAGAATATCTACGCTAAACCCCTTCAGGCTCTTCAGTAAAACTGACTTTTTCTCTTTCTTTTTTTTTTCTTTACCTTTCTCAACTGCTCCCCTCCTAGGCCATACATCCCCAAGACTTGGAGTATAGAGCCTACATAACGTTTGCCTTTCTTATGTTTCCTTATCTGCCTTCCCCTACTGCATTGTGAGATATTTCTAAGTGCATATTTAATTTATTGTAGTATACTCAGTGCCAAGCACATAGTATTTATGCAATAAAAGTTTGTTGACCAAGTGGATGAATGGTGAACCCTGAGCAGCACCCCTACAACTGTTCCAGCCTGCCTGCTTCCTGGGGTGGTATTTGGAAGGATCGAGAAGCAGATTCTCATTGGGCAGTAGAAAGGGCATAGGCTTGGAGTTAGACTGACCCAAGTTGACTCCTGATTATGAGCTATGTCATCCCGTCCAACTTGCTTCTCTGCAGCTTATGTTTTGTAAGGTGCTTTGTACATCATTAGGTCTGTGGTTGTTGCTCAGAAATTGGCCCTTACTACTAGTAGTAGTATTAAGGTTGACGAAGATGGGGGAGTTGGTATGGCTAAAGGTAAAAGATGGGTTATCCTCCCAGCCTCTGTCTCACCAATGGGACAGTGTACAGGGTAAAACTAGAGTAAATCTGACAATAGTTTTGCTCGCTTCATTTGCATTATTCTTGCCCTCTCTTGCTAATTGCAACCCCCTCTTCCACAGTCTGTCTCAGTGGTCCTTAACGCTGGCTGCACCTTAGAATCACCTGGCCTTACTGTGGGCCAGTGAAATCAGCATGCTCTCAGGGGTTCCTATGTGCAGCTGGGGTTGAGACCACTAGTCCTTCATTCTCTTGCTCCTAGTAGAATGAGTTGAGATTGCACAGGCCCAGAAACCACAGGTACTTCTTGGGAGAAAAAAACTGTTTCCTAAGGAAGGAGGTCCATTCAGCTGTAAGAGCAGGGCTTGGAGTGGGAGGGTTAGAGTCCTGGCCCTGCCGCTAGTTGGAGAGGCAACCCAGCAAGCTATGAAACCCTCTCTGCCCCGGTTCCATGGTCCGTCAAATAAGTACAGTAAGATCTCCTGTTTTGTCTACCTCAGACTGTCATGTGAAGTTTAAAATGGGAAAAAAAGACTTTTCAAAAGTTTGAAAGTCATGCAAGTGTAATTTGTTAGTGTTCCCATCATCATCAAACAAAATCTTCCGTGTGCTAAGGTGGGCTTTGCACAGGCCATTTCACTTTTTGAACCTCAGTTTTCTCACCTATAACATGGAGCTGCCTACCCCGCAGATTACACGTTAAGCAGCAAGGCAAACAATAGGAACAAAAACCACAAGATATTATAAGGCTTGCTCTTATTAATCTGCATTTTTATTATTACAAAGCTGTGGGTAGACTCACACAAGTCCTTGATTTTAAGCCTGTCATCAAATCCCATAGTCTCTCATGTTAGTAGATACGGGCACCCAGGTGGCTGTAAGCAGGTGCAGCATTTCCTCCTGGAAAGCTCTGCAACTTGAAAACAAATCTCAGGGAATCTTTGGGTACAAACCAAGCCTGCTGAGGTGACAGGTGCAATTGCCTTAGCTGCCTGGGAGCTGTCCCTTTAGCTTCCATTACCTGATTGTTAGGTGTGTGACAGGGGATCAATACTGGGGACAGGTGAATGTGTGTATCAACCTCAGCAACTCAGGTTGAAATCCTCTTGTGCGTGTGGTGTCACAACAGGAGGAAGGGTTACAGAGGTGCCGGGCAGGCTGAAACGCCTTGTCCCCCCTGAACAAGTCCTGCCACCTTCCTCTGTCCTCACCTGCTACCTTCTCTAGCCCCTAGAAGTTTGTATTCTCCCGTATGGGGCTCTGTATTCTGTACCGACCACAAGTCCAGTGATTATAAACGTTGAGGTGTCTGGGAAACTCAAGATTTAGGGTAGTGAATTTGAGCATGTAAGATGGGGAAAAAGATTTGAGAGGTGGCTAAGGCACACTTATTCCTGGTTTTGGCTCGATTGCTGTATACATTCTTACCTGTGCAAAGCAATGCAAATTTATGTTCTCAGCCAATGACATTAATGGACTTTTCTTTCCTAAAGCAAATTTGATAATAACTATGTTGTAAAATATCTTGTAACAAATAATAGATTCAGGATGTCAGGTTTCAATGCAACAAAACAGAACAAGTCTCCTTGGAAGGCACTAACTGTCATTTCAAATGAGATCCACTTACCTACTGATATGGTCCAAACAGCAATTATTTTCAGAAATGCCTTAGTTCTGGAGTTGAAGCGGCTGTGATGGATGGGGTTCTGGATGGCGACGTAGCGGTCCAGCGAGATGGCGCACAGATGCATGATGGAGGCCGTGGAGAAGAGCACATCCAGGTAAATCCAGATGGCGCAGAGCTTGCTAGGCAGAGGCCACTGGTAACCTGCAATGCAGAAGGTTAGCGTCATTCAGTGGCCTTGTCCCCCTCTGGTGTGTGGAATTGACCCTGCTACAACAGTTTCCATGCTGGGGAAAGGCACAGGTGGACGCAAAGGGCAACACAAGATATTTTCAATATTTCAAAAAAGCCTAATAGCGACTGTACTTAACCACAATAAGATGGCACTGGCTGATGAACACAAGGTTTGATATTTCTTGTGGCTGGAATTACGCCGGTGTGTTGTGGTAAACTCAGGTTGTCCCTCTTTAGGGTTTCTCTCGCTCTATCTCTTCTGCCTAACAATCTAGCTTTTTTTTTTTTTTAATGACTTAGGTCATAAGTTATGATGTATTTTGGGCTCCTCTATTGAAGCACCTCTTACAGTATACTGTTGTTATTTATTCACGTATCTTTCACATATTGTAGGTTCCCTGAGGTTAGGTCCATCGCAGTCGTTATTATAACTGCTTAGTCTCACACTGTGGTGGCATTTAACAGTTTCTCAATAAATGCTACTGGTGCGAATGAGCACATGATTAAAAATCCAGATTGACACATTCCCAATTTGTAAAAATGAAAACAACTATCTAATAATGCTTTGGGGATTAAACTCAAATTTGGGGTGTGTGGGGGAAAAAAATAGAGACAATGGTGAAGAAAAGCATTGTATTGTCCTGAGAACTGTTTCAGGGCAGTGGTTCTCAAACTTGAGTGAGCTTCAGAATCTCCCAGGTGGCTTCTTAAAATGGGACTGCTGGCTCCCGCCTCTGGGGGTTGATTCTGTACATCTGCAGTGGGGCAGGAGAATCTGCCTTTCTAACAAGTTCCCAGGGGGTGCTGGTGCGCTGGTCCAGGGACCACACTTTGGCAACAGCTGTTTAGGGCAGTGGTTCTCACCCCTGGCTACACATTAGCATCAGTAGGAGAGCTTGAGAGAAGGTCCTGATGCCCAGGAGGGTAGGCAGAGGTGGGCCCCCAACATTCCAGTGTTTTAAAGCTCTCCAGATGATTCCACTGTGACCAGCATTGCAGAAGGTCACCTGCTATATTTGGAAGATAGGATATGCCTGTGGACAAAACCAAAGTGTCCTGTTTTTGTTTGTTCTGAAGGGCGGGGGGTGGGGTGGGGTGTGTGTGTGTGTGTGTGTGGGGGTGTCAAATGGTTATATAACCCTTAACTAGTTTTGATGACAGTATTAGCAATGGCATTAGATCTGTGTGCATGTGAGAAGAAAAATTATAAAGACCTCCCTATCTTCATAATATTCCAGACCTACAAAGCTGAATGAATTTTCCATTCGCAAACGTATTTTCTCTACCAAAATGCCACCTCAGATATTTAGCAAAGTAAAGTGTGCAGGATATGAGCCTAACTTAGTGCCTTTCACTCTGATTATTTGCAAAGAGCTTGAGCTAAAAGGAGAGCCTTTTCCTTAGCAGCGCCTGGGGGGAAGCCGCGCTCTGCCTGGTCGGAACTGATGCTGGCCCTTGGAGGAGTTTTCTCTGCAAGGAGGCAGCCACAGGCCTTAGTCTGGGTTTCTGGCGGGGATAAGGCGGGGGGCACATCCCCGCCCTGCGGTGTCTGGGAGGACCAGTCTCCCAAGGGGCGCAGCTCTGGGCAGGAACAGGCTGCGTGCAGAGTGGCCGCCGCCAGGGGGCGCCGTTGCACCCGGAGCGTGAGGCGCCGGGAAGATCCCAGCTTCTTAAGCCGCTGGCGTGTGCCTGCCCCCCACCCGCACCTCGGGGTCCCCCACCCTCCCACCGTGGTTTTGGTTTCCGGAAGCGGCCTCTGGGAGTCATCCCCCACTCCTGGAGTTTACCTTCGAGGGGGGCGGGGTTGTAGGAAGTGAGAACCTCTCCAGCATGTCTGGGAAATGACAGGCGAGTTTAACGAAATCGTCCGGCTGTGACCTTTGGTCAAGCGGGGGCAAGCCTGGCAATAAGCATTATCGACCCCCTGCAAACCCACACCTGCTCTCCATTGCTCACCTCCATCACGCTCCTCAGGGCTGAGTTGATCTTTTTTTTAGCCCCTAAGACTTGGCCAGAAAATCCCTGTTAAAAGACAGCGCTCACAACCTGTTTCCAGCTCTGGGTGACTGCTGATGTGCCTGTGTCAGCGGTCTCAATATTCTCTCTTTTTAAAAGGAGAAATCTGCCTGTATTACTCATAACTTGGAAAGAATATCACATTCTAATTCCCGCTGAAGCCGTCCCAGTGTTTGCTGACTTGCTGAGAGGTTTGACTCTTTCAAACTCTGAGAAGAAAGCAAAATTAATCTCTTCCCATTTATTTTCCACCCTCCTCCAAACCAGACTGGAGGATTTTATGCACATGCATTTTTAAAGAGTTGAGGGTATAATTCAGAGGCACACTTCCAAATTAGCTTCTCTGGGCAGAGAACAAATAAAATTGGTGTAATTCATTTATTCTAATGGAGACTCTGCATATTTTAACACTAAACCCACTGCATCGCTAATATTCTCTCTGCAAATGTTTCAAAGTAATTGGGAAGGTTTTGCCACTCCATCAGAAGTGCTGAAAACTGTGTGACAAGGATAAAACTGTTCTGACCTGAAGGCTGGAATATTTGGGAATATAAAGGAGTGAAAATCAAGTGGATTCAAAATGACACCTAAATTATTGCTTTATGACTGGACTGGGGCATTTATAATCATTTCTACGTAAGATGTACATGTTTTAAAGCACAACACTTCATAATCAGCTCTCCATAAAATGTACGTGTTTCAAAGTACAAAACTCTCCAACGATCACAGATAATAATCAGTTGTCTGATTTTTTAATATGTGAAGCCCCATCTTAAGAGTAAAATTTAAGTAACTAGCATAACATGGTAGACCCCCATATATAAACAAAGCCTTGTGTTTAGTTTGTCCCCTGAGCCCCAGCTCATTGGCTAATGACATGGACATGCTCTTTATTACCCCTGTGGGTACAGCTGGGGAACTAATGCCACTCACCGTATAGGATGTTTAACATGGACACAGGCATGACAAGGAAACCCAGCAGCATATCAGCTATGGCAAGTGACATCAGGAAATAGTTGGTGGCGTTCTGCAGCTTTTTCTCTAGGGACACTGCCATGATGACAAGTATGTTTCCAGCAATGGTTAGAATAATCACTACAGCTGTCAACAAAGCAGACCAGTTTTTTTCCTGGAGATGAAGTGAGGAGAGGCACGGTGGGGAGAGACAACCTTCACAGGAAAGGTTGGTTCGATTTTCCGCGTCCACTGTCCAGTTGAATGCATCCGAAGTGTTAGTGTCTCCGGAGTTAAAGTCATTGTTGTAGAGCCTTGTGTCATCATTTAACTGCATTAAGGATTTCATAGTTGAGCTCAAAGAAGTGTTTTCTTCGCAAAGAATATCCATTTCTCAGCCGGCACTTGTAGCAGATGAAGTGTAGAAAAACTGACAAGTTATAGGCTCTGCTCACCATCCATCTTTGTGTCCCCACACTCTGTCACACTGAAGCTGGCGGACATGCTGGGCTCCTCTGGTCGGCTTTTTTCCTCCCATTATTGCAGTAGTAGATAAAGAACTGTAATGGCTCTTTATGTTTTCTTCCTTCACAATTTTAGTCGAGTTCTCTGTTTGGTTTCATTTTTTTCTCCAAAGCAAAGTCCAAAAAGCAGACTGAACTTTTAACATAGAGCTTGCAGAGTTTTGAGCATTCGGGGGAGAAAAATGTGATCCTGGCCAAAAAAGAAAAGTTCCGTTAACTACCAGGAATCTTGTTGAGCTCTATCTCCTTCTGTTGGTTATGTTCACCCCACTAGTTGAACCACAGCAGTATTAAAATAGCATGCAATCCAAAACAGCGGGGCTGTATGCATTCTACATTAAGAAAGTCAATTAAAAATACATCCAGTGTTAATGCCACAGTAAGTGGATGCACTTTGGGTTATAGTGCTCTGTCAGTCTTAGGCTGAATTGCCACAGCTGCTGTCAGGAATTTCAGCTTGTATTACGTTGCTTAGTTAATCAAAGAAAAAAAAGTCTTAAAGATTAGAGACAACTTTCTACACTAGAAATTCTCATAGAAATGATTACATTTTGGCCAAGCATGATTTCAAGCCAGAAAGAAAATTACATGGCAATAAAATAGAGCCGCATGAGAACACAAGAACTTACATCTGTCTTCAGGGTCCACACATTAAACACACTTTGCTGTTCTGTGACTGGCTGCGTCTCGCAGAATAACAAAGCCGGTGTAGAGTCCTTTCTCCTTGAGCTTCCACCAGCATAATAGGATAGTAATTTGATTTCTGTTTTGCTGACTTCAAAAACTGCATGTTAAGAGTCGAGCCAGTTCCAGCGCTGCGAGGTTCGTGCTGGCTTCCTCTGCCCCCACTCAGCTGGGTGACTCCCTCCCTGTGCGGCTCGCCTCAGCGAGGCACACATTTAGAAATCATTCATGAGCCCCTCTCAAAGTCACACAGAAGAGATCGCACAGGAAAGTAGGAAGAGCTGCCGGCACCAGGGGACTCGTGGTTTCCACGGGAATGGACCGGCTCGCCGGCTGCCTCGTTCACTTCATCAGACCTCCCTCTATCTGTATGTCATAAACTGCAAGGTAGCAGCAGCCAGGGAGGGCGGACCAAATGGGCTTTTTTTTCCTCTTTTTGCTACATGTTAACATTGGGAAGTTTTCCTTGGTTTTAAAAAGAGAGGAACTGGGGAAATCGCCTTTTGTACAGATTCTTAAGGCAGGTGAGCCACACCGTGATATTTTTTAGGGTGAAGGGTGAAGAGATCATGTAAATAAAGCTAAAAAATGGTGTATCCTTGGAGCACTATAAGCATGTGGTATTTCCATCCAAAGGCTACAGTGGAATTACTGACATCGGCGACTTGGGCTCAGAGTGGCCAAGCGGATTTTTGGTGATGACTCTAAACTATTCGTACTATTTTTCTTTGTTATTAAATACACACACTGTTCAACTAGCTTATTTTCTTTAGCAGAAATATACCACCTAGAAGTAATTCAAAACCTCATGTGTGAAAGAGAATAAGTTGGTTTTTCCAGAGATAACACTAAAGACAGCCTGCTTTATTTGTAAGAAAGCCTATTCTCAGGTTTCTAAAGAAGGCAGATATATGGCAGGTATAAGTAGATATGTTTGTACACAGACAGATCTCTTTATTTTTACAGATGAGGAAATGGATTATTTCCTGAATAGTTGGGGTTTTCTAGGTTTCCTTACATCTTCTTACTCTTTACGTTCTCCGTAGACAAATTCAAATACTCTCATGCCTTCAACATGTTGTTGGCCAAATCTTGTACCTTCATAGCAGATTATTTTCCTCAGCTCCCGACCTAAATATCCACCTGCCCAGTGGGCCCTTCCATCTGTAGCCTAGGAGACCTTGACCTCAGCATCATCTGTCTCTTATTCCCCTGTCCACTGCTTAGTGCTTGTCTCCACCCATTCTCTTGGTGGATGGACTCGCCATCTCTGCAGACAGCTGCTCCCACATCTCAGGCCTGGACTCTGTTATCCATGTCTCTTCCTGAGTTCTCATCATCAGATCTTACTTGGTCTCCAGTGCCACCTCTGTATGCATATTTCTGGAATCTCTGATCCAGCCCACAGCTCACACTTCTTTGGTTAAGGGCCGCATCTTGTGTCTCCTGGGCTGGAGCATGAGTTTAGTCCTCACTGCCCTTCTGTCATCCTCCTGCCCCTCTGCATCCCCACGTGGAGAGGAGGGTGGTGATTGCTGTGCACCGTGGAGCAGGAGCTGAGAGCACAGGCTTTGGGGTCACAGCTCCTGTGTTTTGAACCCCGGCTCTGTAATGAATAAACAGTAGCATCCTGGACAATGAAGTTGCCCCCTTTAAGGCTCCATATTCTCACTTATAAAATGGGATAATAGTATACCTCCCTTATAGGACTCTAGTGAAGCTAGAAGGTGTAATGTGTGTAAACGTGTAGCCCATGTCTGGCTTATAGGATGCTCTTAATGAGTGTTAGCCATTTTAGTTCTTATTAATATTCTCATTGATATTATTAAAAAACAAACGTCACTTCCATCAGTTTGTACCTACATTCCTGCAGTCTCTCCCTTGTGGGGCCCACAATCCTGTCCTTGCCCGCCCCCTACTTCTCCCACATCTCAGGCCTGGACTCTGTTACTCTCTCACAAGCAGCCGACATCTTGCTGGTTGCTGACGATTTCTATGTGTTGGTACTTCCAGCTCCCTGTGTCTGGAATGCTCTCACCACCCCCCTTTCTGTGTCCATCTGGCAAATTCCTACTTAGTTTTCAAGGCTTAGTTCCAAAGGTATGTCCTCCATGAATCCCAGGTCCATCGCTTACCACCTGTGTGACCTCGATCAAGCTACTTAATCTCTCTGTGCTTTAATTTCCTCATCTGTAGATGGGGAATAATAATACCTACCTCAAAAGATTGACTTGAGAGTTAAATAAATTTACAGATGTGCCTGGCACATTTTAAGCACTCAATAGAGATTAGTTGCTGTTATTATTGTTGTTAAGCTTCCTGTTACTAAGTGTTCTGTGTCTCTCCTCCCCCTGTGAAGGCAAAGACTATAGCACCTGCCACAGTCTTCTTTTTTAATGCTTCTCACATCACATGTGAGCCCCATAAAGGCAAAGATTATGTTTATCTTATTCACAGTGGGGCACATAGTTGGTGCTTAGATATGTTTGTCGAATGAATGTATGACCGATTTATAATTACTTGTTCACATGTCTGTCGTCTTTATTAGATGGTGAACTTCTTATTCAATCCCTCTACCTTCAATACCAAGCATGGTGTCTCCTAGTGGGGCATCCTCAGTAGATGCATTTTGAAGGAAATATATGATTGTTAGCATATATCGAAAAACAGAATCAGGGAGAAATTTAGAATGTCTCTTTTTTCATTACTTTGTCCAATTGGGTACTAATTTAATTTTATTAAAGAAGGCAAGAGGAAATGTGACTTAAAAAAAGACTCCAGTGTTGGAAAGTTATTCTAAAGGCTTTTGATGTAAATTTTGTTCTATGGATTGCCATGTTACAGTTCTTAGAGAAATCTGACATTTTCAGGCTATTCTTCTCGAAGAACTGGAAGCTAGGCTTCCGGTCATGGCAAAGCTACTCAGTGAGTTTCTTGGTGTATGGTTTATATTGTGAAATAATTCTTTCTGTAACCCTCTAAGATTATTTGCAGTTTTTATTGTAGTTTTATGAATACGTGTTATGGACAAAGCAATATGGGCAAAATTTAGGCCCTTGGCTCCTGATACTTAAAGCTTATCTATTTTTGCTGAGGAGATTGTCCCTAAGCTAACATCTGTGCCCATCTTCCTCCATTTTGTATGTGGGATGCCACCACAACATGGTCTGATGAGTGGTGCCTTGTTCCATGCCTGGGATTCGAACCTGCAAACCCCAGGTTGCCGAATCGGAGTGCGCAAACTTAACCTCTACACCACCAGGCTAGCCCCTAAAGCTTATCTCTTAATAGCATGAGAGTTAGATTTGGTAGGAATGGTTTCTTGCAGGTCAGATACCCCTTTTGAGTTTGGTGAAAGGGGTGTTTATTGGCCACTGTTGTGGACGCTGGTGCGTGTGGCTCAACTGCCCCTTCAGGACTGAGGCCCTCAGTCCCCCTGCTGCTGGAAGTGTTGGTAGTTGATGGGTCTCAGCTGATCCTTCCTGTGAAAATTACCCTCGGCCAGAGGCCACCTTGCCCAGTGCCATGCCCCTTACCTAGGGCAGCCAGCATACTGTGACTGGTCTGTTGTGAGGATGTAAAAATCTGTCCCCCTTGTCTCAACGCTGGACAAGCCTGAGAGCCACCCTGTTTTCAGAGCTCCCCACGGGACCGGCTGAGGCCTTTGTTGTGATTACATCACAACTAAAACTCCTCCTGCTGCCTAGTCCTGCTTCCCTCACTCCTCTCCTAGGTGTGACCTAGGTGTTCCGGAGCTTCCCCCAGAAATCTACACACACGTCTGTCTCCGAGTCAAGCTCCTGGGGAGCTCAACATAAGACTTCTGTTTTTTAACTTGTGTTTTAATACCTTGATGCCACCTCTGGATGAGTTGCATGTCCTAGAACAGAAAGATAAATGTTGTCTGTGTTAATGAAAGCTTCCTTGTCATAAACTTGGAGTTCTTCAATAGACAACTGGTTTTACTATCTGATAATGGCCAGAAGGAATTTGAGGTCAACACCGCCAAAATGAAATTTATTATTTTGGGCAGAATTGTTCCAATGCTTGGACTGTCTATAGGGATATATTTTGTAACTAGTGTATTCTGGGGGATTCACCAAAAAATGATTGCCTAAAATTAGATGTTGATTTTTTTTTTTTTAAATGGCTGGAGTGGTATTTATAGCACTTGTTTGAATGTTGTCCAGGCTAAAGTTATTGGGCTTCTGAAACATTAGTGCCTTGTAGATGTTAATATATATGAAGGAAAAAAAAATTTCCTTGAGCAATTAAATCTGGAATATACTGCATCATATAGCCTCCTTTTAGAGATCTACATTGCACATTAGCATATTAGAGGCTATGAGAGATCCTTCACTGAAGAAATTTGTT